ATACCCTTCGGTAGAAGTAATAGTTCCATTTTTCAATTTAAACTCGATTTTGATCCTATATGATGTGAAGCGGGACTTGTTACCAGCGTATCCATCTACTTCGAGTTCAGTTTTATGTTTAATTTCCGAATCTGAAATCCCTAGTTTTTGTGCAAATCGCTCACTAATCAAAGTACAAGTGGCTCCTGGATCCATTAGTGTGAAACCTCTAATTGATTCTTTTCGACTATTTAAGTATTCAATATTTTTAGTCATGAGCAATGTTTTTATATTTTTGTCTTTCAGAGAGAGAGTGTTGATCTTTTCTAATTCCCTGTTATTTTGTGTACTATTTACTTCCATTATGTCTATCAGGCAGTTCATATCTTCTTGGGAAAATCCTGGATCTGTATTTGTATTCTCACCTGTGTTTTCTCTTATATTATGAATATTTTCTCGTTTGATTGTGTTTTTGGGACAGACAGCAAAGTAATGAGGTTGTGTGCAACTCTGGCATTTTATCTTATTATTTTTACAATATTTGGCAATATGATTCCGCTCGAAACATTTGGTACATTTTCTCAAATCTTTTAACCTTTGTATTCTAGTCTCAAAATTTATATATTTTTTACATTGGACGGAACTGTGATTATCGATCTCACAAAAGACGCATGGCCTTCTCTTTTTATTTGTTTCATTGGAATATCTATTTATTTCTGGTTTTGGTTCCCGCCAATTAGTGTTTCTATCCCTCTCTATATTATTAGTAAATACATTATGATTTTGGCGAGGAGGAGGGCGTCTATAATTCGATGAGGAACTTTGGCCATAAACCGCTTCTTTAATTTTTAGATGCTTGTCAATTGAATCTAGGAGTCGGTTAATTGTCCAGTTAGTGGGATTTTTATTTTGTTCTTCAAGTATGACACAACTAGCCCATCCCCCGAACTTGTTTTCAATTTGTTGTAGCAGGGCACCATTGTCGATTTCTTCCCCTAATGCCTTCAATTGCTGGGTGATTCGATGTACATTTATCCAATTTTGACGAACGTCTTCCGTTTTTAATGCCCGAGGACAAAGCTTATTTAATTCCCCATACAATGATCGTTTAACTGAGATCTCATCCCCAAATCGTTTCCTAAGATGGTTCACTACTAACGGATAATTTAAGGCTGTTATTGCAAATCCGCTCACTTCACTATAGGGATGAGGCCGAGCGAGGGAGGCAAGTAAATACGTTAGTTTTTCAGAATCGTCTAGACTATGATTTTTATCTATTGAAACTTCAAAAAGACTCCAGAAGCTTGGCCATTCCGAAACCTTTCCATTAAAGAGAGGAAGATTACAAACTGGCAGTCGAATAGAAGTCGAATGTGCAACCGATGTATTGGCGACAGAATTATCATTATGAGACGACGAGGAGACTTCAATCAGCTTAGCTTCGATTTCACAACTTAGATCCCTCGCTATTTCGATTAGGGCTATAAAACCATCCTCCCCCTCCGCGTGGGTGTTATAATCTTTCAACATATCCTCTTTCCTATCCTGCGCCTCGAGACCTATGAGCTTCGCCCAGTCTGTATTGATCTGTTCCAACACTTCTACAGATCTAGCTAATTTCAGTTGTTGTGCTCTCAGACTCGTTATGCTTTCGGGGTTTACTCCATTATCTGATAATTCTTTGATCGACTTTATATATCCAATGGTTCTTTTCCTGAGTGGACCTAATCTCATTTTAAGCGGTCCCGCGAAAGTGCGATTTGCCATTTATTATTTTAATTTTAAATACAATTTTTAGGTGTATATTAAATACAAAAAATTAAAAGCAATTGTGTGTATATGAATATTTAAATTAATACAATTGTAAGTTTGTTTAAATAGTATTAAATTAATTATTCTTTTATTCTTTAATTAGAGCGGCTAAACGTTCAAACAAAGCGGCACAAGCACGAGAGGTTTGTCCAATTTGCGAATACACTTCAGCAAGTTGTGCTGCTTTACGTACGGACTCCCCCTTCTTTTTTGCTTTGGCTATTTTCTCTGCTTCGCGCTTTTGTACTTCCAAGATTTGATTTTTCACTTCGGGCTTCTTTTGAGAAAAATTTAGTAATCTTCTTAGAAAGACTATATTCACCTTTGGACACGTGACAGGAGTCTTTGAATGAACACGATTGGGAATCACTGCTTCTGCTCGTGTCGTTTGATGATCCTGCTATTGGAAGGATTAGATTTGACCAGATAGCAGTAGTAAGAAGTTCAGCCCTTTTTGTTCTCCCAGCGATTACAATTCGGGAGTTTACCTTTTTGTTATTGTTGTCGTTCCGGGAAGAGTATGGCCTTTTATGAGCAGCGATCGGCGGTGAACGTCTGGCACTTCCAATTCTTGGAGTAGAGGGTGAACGAGGCCTTCGGGGAGTTTGCTGTTCAGCCAAGGCTGGTTTTGTTTTCACAGCAGTGTCCGACGGTGGGTTAAACCTAATCCAATTACAAGGTACACAAAATTTATTAATGGGGCAAAGAGTTTTCTTTACAACAACAAACTTTTTGTTAGGTGGAGGCCAATCATCATCATCATCAGAAGTATCTGTTTCAGTTGATTTGATATCTTTACTTGGAACAGCAATTGGCTTCTGGTTATTGCCACGAGTTGGATTGGAAGAGCCAGCAGTAGAAGACGAGCTTGTATTAGTAGTTGTGGCGCGACCGGAAGATGTACAATTTAGTTTATTAATTGATCCAGAATTTGTAGTAGTTGCTTCAGGGGTAGAAACAAATTTTTTCACAACACAAATTAAGCAGTTGCAGTTAGTGTTGTCGGAATGCACGCCTTGAGCCGAGGCAAGGATTTGTTGAAGCACAGCAGGTTTAATGGATTCCGCCACTGAAATTTGAGTTATTAGTAAGGTTTAGTCGAGGTGCCTCTCCCGGAGCACCACTTTGTCAACTAAAGGCTTACTTTGACAAATAAATTTTTAGGGAAGCTAGGTCCCAAGAGTTATTGAATAAAGTGAATTTAAATAAAATATTTATCTTTAAAATTAAAAATACAATTAAATATTTTTGTAAAGAATTAATGGAAAATTGAAAACTGAAGATGATAGGGAAGATCTGCCTATTGTTTATATAGGGGATTTAATGGACAATAGGCAGAGATTTACACAATAATGAATAGAGAAGTGATATGAAAAATAGTATTAACGAGGGGTGAAAAGACAATAGTTTCCGGAAAAAAGAAGAGAGAATAAAGGGTCAAAGTGGCAGCTTATGGGAAAATAATTTATGACATTGTCTGTCGTGGACAGGTGGAATAAAGGGAAAATTAGAAAGAAATATTTAAATTTATTAATAATTATAATTTCGTGTTCCTTACACGACATACCTGACTCGTTCATATCCTTCAGAATTTGTGTTTGCTAGTATTCGCAAACTCGGACATTCTACGTTAAAATTTCATTTCAATACCTCTTTAATCCAATTATATACAGAGTCTTCAGGTAAATATTCCAATGCTTTATGTTTAAAGTAGCCAGTTATGCTACCCTTATTTTTCTCTTTTTCCTCCAATCTATATTTTTCCTCAATTTCATTCAAAATTCCTTCAATTTCTACTTCAATCCCTCCAATATTAACAATTCTTTTTGGAATATTTGGAAAGGGAAATTGTCCAAGTGGATGGACATTTATTAAATAATATTTTGATTTTCTTAATAAATCCCACATTTTTGGCATTTCTTCAACTTTAATTAATTTATGGTTCCCCAATAAATTCTTTTCTAAAGCCCTTTTCCTTGCCAAATTTAAATATTCAACTTGATTTTGTTCATAAAATTTAAAATAAACTTCTGGATTCATTAACTCTAAATGTGAATAAATTATTTTAAAGACAATTAGAAAACAATCAACACTGTGGTGCATAAGTTTATGCACACTTAAATATGTTCTATAAAGCAATCAAAAGCTCAATCTGTATCTATGTTTCTGCATTTTTTGAAATTCTGATATTTTCGAAAACTTTTCGACCGGTCTAACAGGTACTACATTTTCAACTTTTCGAAGAAATTTTTTTGAGGTCTGTAAAAAATATGTGATTCTCCTCCAGATTCTACATACAATACAAAAAAAATCATCCAAATCGGTCGAGAATCTACCGAGTTATGAATTTTTGAATTTAAACAAAACGCGATTTTTTGACGAAAAATGGCAAATTTGACCGGAACCGGAATGTTCCACTTGTGTACCGGCCGTTTGTGTACCTGGCCATATTTTGGGCCATAACTTTTTCGATTCTTAATTGATTTAAATAATTTATATATCATTCGAAAGCCCTGGAGGTGAGGATTATTTTTGCCAACAGGAGTGATTTGATCAGATCATCTTACAAAAAGTTACAGCCAGATAAAAATCAAAATCACGATTGCACGCATTTATCTGGCTGTAACTTTTTGTAAGATGATCTGATCAAATCACTCCTGTTGGCAAAAATAATCCTCACCTCCAGGGCTTTCGAATGATATATAAATTATTTAAATCAATTAAGAATCGAAAAAGTTATGGCCCAAAATATGGCCAGGTACACAAACGGCCGGTACACAAGTGTCCCCTACCCGACCGGAACGCGACCATTGAGTCCCTGGCCGGTTGAGTCCCGAGCTTGTAACTCGGGAATCTGGAAATAATTTATTAAACTTTTGGTACCATTGGATAGAGAATTAAATTCTCTACAAAATGATACCAAAGATAAAATAATCCTATCAATTGATAATGAAGTTATTATCAAAAAACCGCCATTTTTTAAAAAAAGTCATTTTTTTGCATGTTTTTTGATCATAACTTTGGTACCTGTCGATCAAATTTTTTGATCAATAGCTTATTTTGTAGCTTGATTAATCCTCTATCCAACGATACTAAGAGCTCCAAAAACTACTCGAACCCTCTGGAGTTATAGAGCTCGGGACTCAACCGGCCAGGGACTCAATGATCCCCTACCGAATTTGACCATTCTTAAACTTTATGAGAGAAGAAAGAAGGTGAAGACAAAAGTTTGCGTGCAACATTTACGGAAATTGGGGGAGAACGCACAGTACCGAAGACGCATAGTACCGAAGAATTTTTAAAATCAATCGAAAGAGCTTATTGAGTTGAGTCGAAAAATTTATTTTAAAATAACTACGCTACAGACAAAATGCTTACCAGGCATTAAATAATAGCCTTTCTGGCCAAGAAAATGCAAGTGAATAGGAAGAGGAATTGTTGAACTTGTAGCTATATATTTCTTTAATCCAATTTCTTCAAAAAGAGGAAGTGCCCCAGAATTAGATTGAGCAATTCCCAACGCAAATTTGTTTGTTGTTCCCATATGTTTAAGCCAATTAAAAATTCTTTGTTTTATTCCATAGATTTCGACTTTTGGATTTTCTATTATTGCTTAAAAGAAAAAAGTTTGTCGATCACTATTAAAAATTTTGTTCCGATTAACTATTCCCACCATACCGCCCCAACATTCTGGTAACATAAGATTTCTAACACTCCGTCAGTTCCAATAGATTACCATTCCGTTTATGTTAGTGATTTGTTTTCTTAACAATTTTGGTACATATGTCCATATAAATACCGTGTGGCTCTTTCCAAATACAGTGTGGCCCTTTCCAAACACTAAAATAGGGCGCAGCCACTCGAAAATAAGGCAAAAATAGTAAATACAATTAGTAAATACAATTTGTAGATTCCTCACTAATTCGTGCCTTGAGCACCACAAATAGTAACAAATCCTCTTTGTCAAAATTAATTTTCTAGCTTACCTTTATATGCGGCGTACATATCAAAGCCTAACAATTTCAAGAGGTAATGCTCATCTTTCTTATCTTCAATTTCCCAATTTGGTTCAGATTTACCTACATTAAGTATTTTGGAATACTCTTTATCTTCTTCATAAAGTACTTCTATTATATTAAATCCTTTTAAAGATCGATTCAAAGGAACATCATTGTAATTAACCACAACCAAATACTAAAATTCAAATATATGTAATGGGGAGTTGCGAGTGAAGTTTGTGAACAGTAATATTTCCGCAACCTATCCAACAAACATTTATCCCCCATACCTCCTTCGAGGGACTCATTTGTCAGTGGATATGCGTCAGTGAACAATCGGTCAGTGAAATAATAGAGCAATATAAAGAGATTAAGAGTTTAGGATGGATATCACGGGATTAGGAGATTAAGAGTGATATCGGAGAATGCGGAAGGTTAACGGAGATTTGGGAAGGTTAACGGAGACTATAAAGGTCTCGAAAGGTTAACGGAGACTACTAGAGGTATTGAGAGATCATGACTTTGTGAGAATATCGAGGGATTTATGATAATTACGATCTTTGCCGATATTTTTCAAGAATCAAGATTATTTCGAGATCGATCTTGCTTTCTTTAGTTACTTTAAACGCTAACGTTTTCTACCGTCATTGACAATATGTATTATCTTAAAGTAAACACTTTTATTCAAAAATCTGTAGAAGCAAGTGATAATGCATTATTAGCTTTGGAGTGATATCAGGGGAGACAAACTTGAAAGGATTAAAAGAGATATTACGGGATTTGGGCGATAAAAGGCTATCGGTGAATTTGGAGGATTAAGAGGGATATTGAGTTTAAAATTAGGAGGGTTGGGGGAAATATTGCTAGATTGAGAAGGATTTATGTATGTGACTTCAAAACGCTTGCACAAAGTGTGGCTATAGTTCAAAATATAAGGTTTTCAACATCCCTGTTATAAAAAATATTTCAAATTTACCACGTTATAATTTCCGTATAGAACATTTGCAAGGTTGATCTAAAAATTAGGTTATAATATTACTAGATATTCTTTTAACTTTATTTTAACTTACGAAAAAATTGTAGTGCGGGTGATCTGCTTCAGTTACCAGCAATATTTTCTTTCCATTATATGCTTTGTGAGGGTGTTGAATGCTTGTTGAAGATGATGATGAGCCTTCATCATAATTTTGTTGAGAAAGTAAAGGGGTTTTTAAACGACTTTCTTCATCTGTTCCCCCTTTATGAAAGTTCCACATACAATCAACATTGGAATGTAGCAGAAAATAAAACAGAATTAAAAAATAATTAAGCCAAAAAATGGAAAACATTTTCAGCTAAAATTAAAAATTATATAAACTTCAAAATTAAAATATATTTTATTTGTAATAATAGCTTAGTTTTTTCCCCGTTTTCTTCACTTTAATTTATCTACGGATTTTACACTTAAGATTCTCCAATATTACCTAATGTATTGGAGAGAATTAAAATGAATTAAAGACACCGGATAAACACTAGATAAAAACTTTTTCATTGTATAGCTCGTGAAGTCTTTAATTACAAGTCTAATTATTTTTTTTTGGAATGATAGATTCTTCAATAAATACATACAAATTTTCTCAATAATTTGATAATTTTTACTCAAATTTATAAAATTTTTCAACTTTTTCGGTGCAAAAGTTTATAAATACTTTACAAAAACTGGATTTCTAGATAAAAAATACCGAAAACCCTCAAAATTTATTGATATTGATTTCGGAAAATAAAAAAGAGTCAAGTCGTCTAAATATGCTTTTTTCATACTAAATTCTCTAAAATCTACGGCAAATGGGGGTACAGTTCTTTAAACCTCCTAGAGCTTATAGAAAAAATTTTTTGGGCTGATTAAAAAGACGATAAAATTTATTATACACTTGGTTACATGAAGTTTTGGAAGTTTTGTGACTCTAGCTCCGACACTTTTTAAATTATCGCCCGGCTTACTCCGAGCAGGTAATCCGGGGATGGAGATGAATCAAGAGAGATATCGAAGGATTAAGGAGGAGTAAGCGGGATTAATTAAAAGTGGTATTGAAGGATAATATTAAAGTTATATTAAATTAGCATTCTTTGAATAAAATCTTAATTATTATATTTATTTTAATAAATTAAATAAATGATTTAAAATTTAGAGCAATAATAAAATTAAGTCAATAAATTAACTCTTTAAAAATCCCTCAATAGCTCAATAGCCCACCTCTCTCCATTGCCCTTAATTTATCCTCTTGCCTTTTATCTTTTTAAATTGCACTTTGGCAAATTATCGATAAAACGTGGACTTTAATAAATCTTAATAAATAAATATTGAGTAAATAGATAGGCAAGATAAAGTAAATAGCATTTCACAACTTGTTTATACCTATTGCACAACATTTAATGGGCAAAATCAAAAGGCAAAAAACAAAACATTTTAGCTTAAATGTTGAAACTCTTCCAGTAGTTATTTAAAAATAATGCATCGTTGCTGATTCATATACATCTCGCCAGGTACTGCAAGTCCCAAAATATTGCGACACCCATCGTATCGCGTGCCTATGGTACCGTTGCACAAGGTACCCAAGACGCCCTAGGGACCTCGAGCCCAATCTATCAGATGCTTGATTGAAATAATCAAGAAATAACAAATAAAAAATGGCTATTGGAGAGAAAGCGGAGTTTTTCTCTCAAAAAAGGGGGACTTTAAATGAAAGCTTATAGTAAGTTGGCTCTATCCATACGTCCCATTAAAGTACATGCGTCCTATGAAAATATATGCGTCATATGCAAGCATATCCGTCCCATGAAAGTATATCCGTCCTATGAAAATATATGCGTCATATGCAAGCATATCCGTCCCATTAAAGTATATGCGTCCTATGAAAATATATGCGTCATATGCAAGCATATATTAAAGTATATGCGTCCTATGAAAATATATGCGTCATATGCAAGCATATCCGTCCCATTAAAGTATATGCGTCCTATGAAAATATATGCGTCATATGCAAGCATATCCGTCCCATTAAAGTATATGCGTCCTATGAAAATATATGCGTCATATGCAAGCATATCCGTCCCATTAAAGTATATGCGTCCTATGAAAATATATGCGTCATATGCAAGCATATCCGTCCCATGAAAGTATATCCGTCCTATGAAAATATATGCGTCATATGCAAGCATATCCGTCACATTAAAGTATATGCGTCCTATGAAAATATATGCGTCATATGCAAGCATATCCGTCCCATTAAAGTATATGCGTCCTATGAAAATATATGCGTCATATGCAAGCATATCCGTCCCATTAAAGTATATGCGTCCTATGAAAATATATGCGTCATATGCAAGCATATCCGTCCCATTAAAGTATATGCGTCCTATGAAAATATATGCGTCATATGCAAGCATATCCGTCCCATTAAAGTATATGCGTCCTATGAAAATATATGCGTCATATGCAAGCATATCCGTCCCATTAAAGTATATGCGTCCTATGAAAATATATGCGTCATATGCAAGCATATCCGTCCCATTAAAGTATATGCGTCCTATGAAAATATATGCGTCATATGCAAGCATATCCGTCCCATTAAAGTATATGCGTCCTATGAAAATATATGCGTCATATGCAAGCATATCCGTCCCATTAAAGTATATGCGTCCTATGAAAATATATGCGTCATATGCAAGCATATCCGTCCCATGAAAGTATATCCGTCCTATGAAAATATATGCGTCATATGCAAGCATATCCGTCCCATTAAAGTATATGCGTCCTATGAAAATATATGCGTCATATGCAAGCATATCCGTCCCATTAAAGTATATGCGTCCTATGAAAATATATGCGTCATATGCAAGCATATCCGTCCCATTAAAGTATATGCGTCCTATGAAAATATATGCGTCATATGCAAGCATATCCGTCCCATTAAAGTATATGCGTCCTATGAAAATATATGCGTCATATGCAAGCATATCCGTCCCATTAAAGTATATGCGTCCTATGAAAATATATGCGTCATATGCAAGCATATTTTCCCATGAAAGTATATCCGTCCTATGAAAATATATGCGTCATATGCAAGCATATCCGTCCCATTAAAGTATATGCGTCCTATGAAAATATATGCGTCATATGCAAGCATATCCGTCCCATTAAAGTATATGCGTCCTATGAAAATATATGCGTCATATGCAAGCATATCCGTCCCATTAAAGTATATGCGTCCTATGAAAATATATGCGTCATATGCAAGCATATCCGTCCCATTAAAGTATATGCGTCCTATGAAAATATATGCGTCATATGCAAGCATATCCGTCCCATTAAAGTATATGCGTCCTATGAAAATATATGCGTCATATGCAAGCATATCCGTCCCATTAAAGTATATGCGTCCTATGAAAATATATGCGTCATATGCAAGCATATCCGTCCCATTAAAGTATATGCGTCCTATGAAAATATATGCGTCATATGCAAGCATATCCGTCCCATTAAAGTATATGCGTCCTATGAAAATAT